GAGAGTAGTTAGTTTAGTTCATTTATAACTCGCCCTGGGAAGGAGCCGGTTGGCCGAGCGGACAGCATGCTGGACTTGTGATCCTTTGGTCCTGGGTTCGATCCCGGGCGCCAGCGAGAAACAATGGACAGAGTTTCTTTCACCCTATGCTTCTGTTACCTAGCAGTAAAATAGGTACCTGGGTGTTAGTCAGCTGTCACGGGCTGCTTCCTGGGGGTGGAGGCCTGGTCGAGGACCGGGCCGCGGGGACACTAAAGCCCCGAAATCATCTCAAGATAACCCTGTACCCATCTTGTGGGCGGTAGTGGAAAGGGTTATAGAGGCGTACTGTAATGGGCTCAGAGACTTAACCCCAACATTCATTTAGGCTAAGCTAGTAACAGTCTTGATGAGCTAGTTACAATATTTAATGAACGTCATCACATCAACAATGAGCTCAACACCGACCACAAGTTCAGTTTCAGCTTAATTAAGCAACTGACATATGTGGAGAGTTAGTGTCACAGTTGATATGTTTGACCTGCACACCGCCCCCCATCCAGTGGGCAGCGGTGGATAGGTTACACCGCCCCCCATCCAGTGGGCAGCGGTGGATAGGTTACACCGCCCCCCATCCAGTGGGCAGCGGTGGATAGGTTACACCGCCCCCCATCCAGTGGGCAGCGGTGGATAGGTTACACCGCCCCCATCCAGTGGGCAGCGGTGGATAGGTTACACAGCCCCCCATACCAGTGGGCAGCGGTGGATAGGTTACACCGCCCCCATCCAGTGGGCAGCGGTGGATAGGTTACACCGCCCCCCATCCAGTGGGCAGCGGTGGATAGGTTACACCGCCCCCCATCCAGTGGGCAGCGGTGGATAGGTTACAATCACTTAGTTACTACCTACCGAGAAAGTAAACAGGATTTTTGTATTAAAATGACCTCCCGGTGAACGAACGAACCGGCGATAGTCTCGCCGAACGGTTAAGCATTAGCTGAACAAAGATGATAATCGATAATTAAGAGCAATAATCGACTCTAAGATGGCGAGGACAAAGCTGTTTAGACAAGAGGATGGCATGTGCTTGCTGTTGCGTCTTAACCAGGCTTGGTGTGGAAAGGGGATACTTGGAGCACGTTACAGCAGTTTGTGTTAGGGAATGCTATGGGCAGGTGGAAGTAATGCCAGGTCGGGCCTGGGGCCAGGTATGTTCCAGGTACGAGAGCCAACCAGGGATGGATGTCACAGTAGTCATCCTGCATCATCCAGACGGTGATGGGATGATGTGCAAGCGATGAGTCACAATAACGTGGCTGAAGTATGTTGACCAGACCACACACTAGAATTTGAAGGGACGACGACGTTTCGGTCCGTCCTGGGACCATTCTCAAGTCGATTCTCAAGACTCGATTGAGTCTTGAGAATCGACTTGAGAATGGTCCAGGACGGACCGAAACGTCGTCGTCCCTTCAACTTCTAGTGTGTGGTCTGGTCAGCATGGGATGATGTGTTGCAACAGCAAGCCAAGCTCTAAGTGGTTAATGGTTGTGTGGAGTCGGTGTTCTCCGAGTGTTTGGTCACCTCCCTCCCTTTCCCCTCCACTAAAGCTTGAGTGTAATGTTTAGGGGATTTAAGTTGCTTGGTTTAACAGTAATGGGGTTATAGTGAGGACCATCCTGGTAGTGCAGTCCCTGAGTGGACGGCTACATTGAGATATGTTTGATGTTAATGTGGTAGTGGAGGTGGTCAGCAGGAGAGGACTGAGTTGTGTGGTGGTGGTCCACAGGGTGAGGCGGTCTGCGGCGGCCAGCCCTCCTCCAGGGACCGGAGGCCCCGCGTCAGGCACCAGAAACCTCGACCCCGCACCATACACATCGATGTCTACTGCAGCTCTGACGACGACCTCGACGACTCTTCACCGTCCTCGCCCACGTCCGAGGATACACTCGACTCTGGCTCCAGACGACCTCACGCCGTCGTTGCTCTCGGCTCCAAACAACGCAAGAAAACAGAGCTCAACTTGGGTCGTCACCACTACCACCCACTGGAGGAGAAGGCCTCGAGCTTTGTGTACTCGCGAGGCCGCACCCACGAGCCGCATGCGGGCCGCAGGTCCACCTTCATTACCGATGACGTGCTGCAGCTGTGCTCCTCGCCGCCACGCACCACACCGGACAAGGAAGACGTCGAGACACCCTTGCTGCCAGATTCTTCAACAATAAGGCCTGAGGCGCCGGACAGCTGCACCGCCACACCCGCAGCTACCCACCAGTCTCCAATACCCATGCCTGCACCGCCGCCGCCACCCCGACCAACTACGCTGGCCATGCCGATTTCGCCACTTCCACAACCATCGGACAGTTCCGGACTCCGACCCCACAGCAGGCACTCTAGCTTGTCCTACCTCAGTAGTCCAATGGATGTTGACCCATGGGAGGGCGAACCCGAGCTGCCGGATTCTGCTCTCTCGTGGCGTGGCAGCGAGTTCGAGACCTCCACTCCACGCTTCGCCAGTGACCTGGACCTTCCCTCGCCCCGGGCAGCCTCCGAGCTTTCTCTCTCCTCCCTACATGAAGCTTTCTATGAGCGAGAAGGTGGAGAACCCGTGGGCAGTCTAGACGTGCAGGAGTCCCCTAGGATGTGGCGATCACCACACCTGGAGCGGCAGCGGTATATTCAGAAGGGCCAAGAAGACAGATACCGTGAGGCCCGCAAGCGGCGCACGCATCAGGAGGCACAGCAGTCCTTCACCACCACACCCTCCAGCGTGGTCGAGCTGGCTAAACTCCCTGCGTTCAAGGACTTCTCCAAGGAAGACCTCAAAGTCATCTCCAAGTCACTAGAAAAACGAGTCTCTCCTCAGTCATCAGATAAAGAACCCGTCGTTCTTCCAGAGCCGAAGGAAAGCTTTAGGCCAACTGAGAAGGAATCTAACCGGCTGCTGGAATGGATGCAACAGTACAAGGCCCAGGAGAGTCAAGAATCAACCACATCTCAAGAGCTGCAGGATTCTGAATCTCTTGGGTATGCCGAGTCCGGTAAATCCCTAGAGGGAACAGATTCATTTAGGAGTATGGAAAGTAAGGATTCCTTTGGAACTGTGGCAAGGAGAAAATCCACAGCAGGGGTAAGTGGAAGTGCAGATCCTGACTCCAGTATAAAGATTGAAAAGAGGGATTCCCTTAAAACTCTTGAAATGAAGGATGTCCTTGGGTTCCTGGAGAGGAAAGAGTCCACTAAGTCAACGGAAAGAAGAGAGACTGGAAGATCTTTAGAGAGGAGAGAGCCGGGGAGGCCTCTAGAGAAGAGGGACTCGTTCAAGTTCCAGGACAAGCGGGAGTATTATCGTGCCCTGGAGAAGAGAGAGTCAGGCAGGGCCTCTGAGAGGAAGGAATATATGCACTCCTTATACAGGGGCGAGAGTGGCAGGTCGCTGGAACGAAAGGATTCATTATCGTCGTTAGAGGGTCAAGAGTCTGGCTGGCCCATCGAGAGAAGAGACTCCGGGAGGTTAGAAAGGAAGGACTCGGGTAGACTTTTGAGAAGTGATTCAGGTGGATATTCTGAGACAAAGTGTACATACCAGACTCAAGGAGGGAGGGGAAGGACAGAGTCCTTTGAGTCTGGTGATAGGACACAAAAGAGAGTAGCAAGAGAAGACTCTGTTAAGACACACGAAACTTCTGAAGCTGGTTTGGAAAGGAAAGACGTCGATAGACCTGTGGACGTAAAGCGGTCCGCTAGCTTTCTGGAGCAGTTTTTAGAGAGAGAAGAGTCATCGAGATCAGGGTCTGTGGAATGGCAGGACGTGGTGTCGACGGTGAGACGCCGCTTGTCAGCCTGTGCCCAACAGACTGCTACAGAGGCACCAAGGTCTCCAGTGGGCGAGGCGCCTGGTGCACCAGCGAGCGAGGCGCCAACATCCTCACACGCACCGCATCACGAAAATCTCACGTCCCCACTGCCACAGCGACGTTTGGGACGTTTTGGCCGCAGGAGAGACGTATTTCACGGGGATGATGAGCGAGACACGACCACGATCGTGGGCGGGAGAATCATCAACGTGGGACTATTTCGCCACCTGTCCAGGTTCCCTTTCAGCCAGACAGTGCCCGTCCCCGCCTCCAGGCTTATGGAAGCCAGGACCACGTGTGTTCCCGAGCAGCGGAAATTTGTGCGGCCACAACTCTTCGGTGAAATGACCCTTTCCTACCCAAAGCGACGCGGTATCCACTTTGGTCCACCGAGGAACCCTCAGTGCTCTTGTGAAAACTGCCGAAGTTGGGCGGAAGTGTCCTCTGGAGGCCAGATACAGGGAAGCAGGTTGCGCGCGTGGTCCCTGACGGATCTGGAGTCCGAGACAGGCGAGAGTTCGAGCATGGTGCTTCCCCTGCACCCCAGCTCCTTCCCTGGCACCTCTCTCTCCCGTGCCAACAGTAGTGTCAGCGACAGCTCTACTCTCTCCCATGTAGGTAAGCCACGCACTCACCACCCACAACCCCCCACACTTCACATCGCGCGATCACCACCCACGCCGTCCTGGCCTCACCATTATCAACCACCTCATCTCCCTAACCACGCGCCCACTTAACACTTAACACGAAACTTAACCATTAATGCAATATTCGAGTGAAAGATGAGAGCGTAATTGGCCAAGAATCCTACACCGAGGAGAGGTCTTGTGAAGGCACGCCATTATGTGTAACCTGAGCAGTGTGGTGTGTGTGTGTGTGTGTGTGAGACGCTGTCTGTCATGTCCTGTGGTTCCTGCTATCTTGCCCAAGTACTAACCTAACCTACCATTATCTAATTGTCCTTGTTCTTCCTCTCTCTTACCTGGAACATACCTGTCGAGGGACTCGGGGAGTTCTCCTACTCCCCAAGCCCGGCCAGGCTTGTTTTGCTGCTAGACTCTATATAGCCAGCTTGGATGTGTATTAAGTGATGATAATAATACTAAGGGTGTGTATGTACGGGGGTTTGGTGGACATGTTGTAATGGTTGGTTGTGTTGGACAGGCGCAGCAGCGGTTGGAGGAAAGCAGTCATAAGCTGGACCTGATCCGCCTCTCCTTGGAGCGACTGCGGGGAGACCTTCCGTCCGGGTCTCTTGTGGCTGGTGAGGTGAGTACCTTCACGACGTCTTCTTCTTCATTGTGTATTATATAGCAACTTGACAATGGTCAACCCGTCGACTTGAGAATGGTCAACCCGTCGACTTGACAATGGTCAACCCGTCGACTTGATAATGGTCAACCCGTCGACTTGACAATGGTCAACCCATCCACGGGAGACATCTCCCGTCACGCAGGGTGCAGTCGCACCTCCACAGATCTCCCGTATCATCTATTGATACTGGTAATGGCTCAAAAGGGCCACCACTTACGGGCTATTCATGCCCGTGCCACCTTTTGGGTGGCTTAATCTTCATCAATCAATCAATCGTCAACCCATCGACTTGAGAATGGTCCAGGACGGACCGAAACGTCGTCGTCCCTTCACCTTCTAGTGTGTGGTCTGGTCAACATTATATATATAATCGTACCCAATAGCCAGATCGCACTATCGGCCTAGTATGCAAGGCCCGATTTGTCTAATAGGTAGAGTGATTTTCGCTATTTTCAACTATTTTTGCAATTGGTTTGAATTATTATATTACATTAACAACATGAATTACTGAATTATGTTAATTAGGTAAAGCTAAGATAGAATCCTGTGGGACCAGCCTTGACTGGCGAATCCTGTGGGTCAGTCTTGACTGGCGAATCCTGTGGGTCCAGCCTTGACTGGCGAATCCTGTGGGGCCAGCCTTGACTGGCGAATCCTGTGGGTCAGTCTTGACTGGCGAATCCTGTGGGGCCAGCCTTGACTGGCGAATCCTGTGGGGCCAGCCTTGACTGGCGAATCCTGTGGGGTCAGTCTTGACTGGCGAATCCTGTGGGGCCAGCCTTGACTGGCGAATCCTGTGGGTCCAGCCTTGACTGGCGAATCCTGTGGGTCCAGCCTTGACTGGCGAATCCTGTGGGCCAGCCTTGACTGGCGAATCCTGTGGGGCCAGCCTTGACTGGCGAATCCTGTGGGTCCAGCCTTGACTGGCGAATCCTGTGGGTCAGTCTTGACTGGCGAATCCTGTGGGTCAGCCTTGACTGGCGAATCCTGTGGGGCCAGTCTTGACTGGCGAATCCTGTGGGGCCAGCCTTGACTGGCGAATCCTGTGCGGCCAGCCTTGACTGGCGAATCCTGTGGGGCCAGTCTTGACTGGTGATTACACAGTCTGTGATACTGTAACAAGACCACACACCGTGACTCCAGTTGAAGCTTGTCCAGTTCTTTCCTGAAATGTTTTCTTGCTGTTCCTGAAACATTTCTTACATTCCCTGGAAGGAGATGGAGAGCGTGTTGTGTTAGTCTGATGTTTCCAAAAGTGTTGAGGTCTTTATGCAGGCGATGAGTCACAATAACGTGGCTGAAGTATGTTGACCAGACCACACACTAGAAGTTGAAGGGACGACGACGTTTCTGTCCGTCCTGGACCATTCTCAAGTCGATTGTGAGAATGGCCCAGGACGGACGGAAACGTTGTTGAGGTCTTTGATTGTGCTTTTGAAACCCCGACTCCAGGTATCTGTTGAGGTTTCGAGAACTCAATCAATCTTGTTTCCGACTTGTTTAAAAAGCTCTCGTTATCCACCCTGTTCTTGGCTGTTCACTTCTCAGATATCTATTGTTAGAACATGTTCCAGATAACTGTTAGGTGAGGATTGAATGGTAGTTTAAAAAAAAAAGTATAGCATTATTGGAACTGCTGGTGATTTATTGTGTACTCACCTAGTTGTGCTTGCGGGGGTTGAGCTCTGGCTCTTTGGTCCGGCCTCTCAACCGTCAATCAACAGACGAGTGTGTGTGTGGGGGGGGGTTAGGGAGGAGGGAAGGATGGATTACAGCTCCTCTTTACAGTTTCTCACAGTTCCTTATATGATAGTTCCCTTCGTTATAGCTTCAAAGTATATTCTCATGAAATAAATGAGTCTCAAGGAGCAGGCTTCAGATGAGCTGAGGTAGGATAACAGCTCTTGCTTGCACCTTCACTAGGTACGTCAATTGACAGCCCATATGAACCTTGAGAGAGAGAGAGAGAGAGAGAGAGAGAGAGAGAGAGAGAGAGAGAGAGAGAGAGAGAGAGAGAGAGAGAGAGAGAGAGAGAGAGAACGAGAGAGAGAGAACGAGAGAGAGAGAGAGAGAACGAGAGAGAGAGAGAGAGAGCGAGAGAGAGCAAGCAAGCAAGCAAGCAAGCACGCATATTCCAGACGGCGTCAGTGAAGAGTAGACGCCTAAAGATTATTCTAGAAGCAGACCAATCCTACAGTAATGTCACGTACCTGGATTGTACCTGTACCTGACAATTCTCCTACACCCTAAGCCGGGCATGAGGCTTGACATGACGGTATCGGTATGTCATGTCAATGTGATATAGGGTGACTTAGGGTGTTGGGCAGTTAGCAATGTCATTGTACACTATGACATGACTATCGCATCATTGGGACGCTTATCATCACGGTGCCACAGTCACACTTGGTATGATGTCACTCCCTGTGAACCTTTCAATGACCTTACTCATTTCCTCCTTGTTGGTAACTTCCCGTGACCCTGTCAAAGCCATGCCCGCTTTCTATGAGCCTGTCAAAGCCATGCCCACTGTCTATGAGCCTGTCAAAGCCATGCCCGCTTTCTATGAGCCTGTCAAAGCCATGCCCACTGTCTATGAGCCTGTCAAAGCCATGCCCGCTTTCTATGAGCCTGTCAAAGCCATGTCCACTTTCTATGAGCCTGTCAAAGCCATGCCCGCTTTCTATGAGCCTGTCAAAGCCATGCCCACTGTCTATGAGCCTGTCAAAGCCATGCCCGCTGTCTATGGGCCTGTCAAAGCCATGCCCGCTGTCTATGGGCCTGTCAAAGCCATGCCCGCTGTCTATGAGCCTGTCAAAGCCATGCCCACTGTCTATGGGCCTGTCAAAGCCATGCCCGCTGTCTATGGGCCTGTCAAAGCCATGCCCGCTGTCTATGGGCCTGTCAAAGCCATGCCCGCTGTCTATGGGCCTGTCAAAGCCATGCCCGCTTTCTATGAGCCTGTCAAAGCCATCACCACGAACGCCTTTGTTATCTGTACCAACAAGGTGCCCCTGGTCTGGTCTGGTCTGGTCTGGTCTGGTCTGGTCTGGTCTGGTCTGGTCTGAAGTCCGGGTCGCTTCTCAAACGAAGGCAATGGGTTCAAGTCCTCCTGCTGCAGATCCTGGAGAATTGTTGCCTCTTCTAATGGTCATTTCTAGTAGTGTGTGTGTGTGTGTGTGTGTGTGTGTGTGTGTGTGTGTGTGTGTGTGTGTGTGTGTGTGTGTGTGTGTGTGTGTGTGTGTGTGTGTGTGAATGACGCACTAAGAGTGGAACCCTTCGTACTCAGCGTGATTCTTGTGAGTCATTTCCGTGGTAGCCAAGAGTATCAAGACTGCATATAAATGCTTGCAGATTTATAGAATGAATTATGGTATATGTAGTGGATGGGAGAGTGTGAGTGTACTCACCTAGTTGTACTCACCTAGTTGTGTTTGCGGGGGTTGAGCTCTGGCTCTTTGGTCCCGCCTCTCAACCGTCAATCAACAGGTGTACAGATTCCTGAGCCTATCGGGCTCTGTCATATCTACACTTGAAACTGTATATGGAGTCAGCCTCCACCACATCACCTTACTCGTGCGCGCGCGTGCGTGTGTGTGTGTGTGTGTGTGTGTGTGTGTGTGTGTGTGTGTGTGTGTGTGTGTGTGTGTGTGTGTGAGTGTGTGTGTGTGTGTGTGTGAGGGAGGCTGTTCGTCCCTGGGAATATCTTCCTCTCTCTCTCTATTTCCTCATTCTCTTTGTATCAGTCATGTCCTTATTGTCCCTTCCTTATCACCCCCACAATCACCCCTACCACCCTCACCCCTCCGCCCTTCCTTCCCAATCCTACCCCCTTCCTTCCCTCTCAAACCCCACCCCTCCCTCCTTTCCTGTATCACCCTTCCCTTCCTCCCCACCCCATCACAACATGACATTTCCTCCACCAGGTGGGACTCGCTCCCATATCCCAACCGTCTTAAACACTTCCGATCAAAACAACGTCTGTTCATAAAGCCAATCTTTCAGAGTAAATGAATGGTAAAGTAGAGGGTAAACTATCCCGGGCCATATATATATATTACACGCGTTTAGAGTATCCCTAAGAGAAGCTTTTTTTGGTTTTAAGCATTTTAACGGGGTGATGTTGAACAGGTTCAGGCAGTGGTCGCTTGCCAGGATCCGGCGCCGTGTTTAGACGTAGTGAGTCATTGTTGTCGTGTTGGTGGATGAGTCCGGGGGATTGTCAACCTTGTGATGGGTCGTCTAACTTGGGTTTCCTGATTGATGGCGGCGGAACAGGCTGTTGCATGGTGGCTGATGGCGTCGGTATAGGTGTTGATACAACTCTAAACTACCTCCTAACAAGTCGATAAACCTTGAGGTGTTCGTTGTTATTCAGTTGGCTTGTAAGCATCAACAGCCTGACATACAGGTATCAGGAACTGTCTTGGCTTTGGCCTCTTGACCTGTGTACTCAAGGTTAAAATGGCAGGAGCCAGATTCACGAAGCAGTTAAGGAAGTACTTACGAACCTGTACATCTTTCCTCAATCTTTGACGGCTTTGGTTACATTTATTAAACAGTTTACAAGCAGGAAAACTTGCTAATTAACTGTTGTTATTATAAACAGCCTCCTGGTGCAGGCGATGAGTCACAATAACGTGGCTAAAGTAAGTTGACCAGACCACACACTAGGTGGTGAAGGGACGACGACGTTTGGGTCCGTCCTGGACCATTCTCAACAGCCTCCTGGTGCTTCGGAGCTCATTAACTGTTTAATAATTGTAAACAAAGCCGCCAAAGATTGAGAAGATGAACACGTTCGTAAGTGTTTGCGTAACTTCTTCGTGAATCTAGCCCCAGGAATTTAAAGATAACGCCAATATTATATGTTTGGCTACGTGGGTGGCGTGGTTTCTGCCCTTTATCCAGGTCAGCCGTGCCTTTACCCGAGTTTACCTGAGGGCTACCAACACTCTAGTGGCCTGGATTATTGGTGTGTATGGGCCTTAAACCTCTAGCTGGCCCCTGTTAGTCCACATCAGTATTGTTGTTTGTATGAGTTCAAATGTCTTTCGGTTTTAGAATTATATTGATATCTCTTGTTAAAAGCTTTTCTCCTCCTATGTTACTCTTATTTCTTTCTCTCTCTTCCTTTTGTTTTCTGGTATATGTGTGTGTGTGTGTGTGTGTGTGTGTGTGTGTGTGTGTGTGTGTGTGTGTGTGCGCGTGTGTGCGCGTGCACGGGCAGAAGCACATTCACTGGTGTTTGCCGGGCAGTAAACTTAACAATACGTGTTTTTGTAACATCACACAATGTAATTACATAATACAAACACATACGGTCTAGTATTTAGGCTTCGTGTACGTGTGTAGGAATTATACAATATATGATGATTCTATTCACCATTCGATTCCCGGTTGCTTCCAGGATCTATCCTTAAGCTGAGTGGATAGAGCTTCTGCCTCACACGGGTGGGGTCCAGGGTTCGAGTCTCCTAGAGCCCCGGTGAATTGCATGTTTATTTCCACGAAAGTGTGGATGACAGTTTATAGATGACGATCCTAGAAATAGGATCCCTTGATTGTTTCTAGCGTGGGTTAGACATATATATAAACGAGATTGGGTGGATATAAATAGGGAGCTGCTTCGTATGGGCCAAATAGGCCTTCTGCAGTTACCTTTATTCTTATGTTCTTGTGTTGTTGCAGGTGAAGCGAGAGTTGGAGAACTCGTTATCTGCTTCTCCATCACCAGCCAACTACACCAGCCTCTACGATAAGGAGAACTACCCCAGCCGTCGCGCACAAGCTCTACATAACAAGGGAGCTGCCGTTACTGGCAAGCTAGAAGTAAGGTGAGTAGTTGGCACAAAATCAACGGTTCTTATGATATTGATTGCTGAAGATTATGCCACCCCAAAAGGTGGCACGGGGGTGAATAGCCCCGTAATCTTTGACACCTGTTAGAAGTTCCATTTTTGGGAGGGGTCACTTCTCTCAAAACGTTGGTACAGTAGCAGTCACTCCTGCAAACGGTCAACGTAACGGTCCCTGTGGTTCCCTTGTTACAACTTGTAATAAAGTTGTTACATCTTGTTATAATGTTATATGACGTATTAGAACGTTGTTACAACTTGCTATGTTGGTTGTTATAATGGTTAGGTGTTAAACCTTGTTCGAATGTCGTAGTTTCGTCATGTGTTTGGGGGAGGATGTGGATCTGTGCTGGAGGCCAGATAGAGACCTAGGGTTTGCAAGGAGTAGAGTTGGCCAAAATATTGTTCAGGTGTGAACATCAAGAACAGTAACTTCCGGCTCCTGTTAGCACGCTGCGAGCTTTTTCCTTCCCATAATTCCATGGGAAGGAAAAGCTCGCCTATAACTCGTGGGAAGGAAAGAGAGTTCAGCCACGCCCCTTTCGTGGTCACGCCTCTCGTGGTCTCGCCCCTCGTGGTCACGCCTCTCGTGGTCTCGCCTCTCGTGGTCTCGCCCCTCGTGGTCACGCCTCTCGTGGTCTCGCCCCTCGTGGTCACGCCTCTCGTGGTCTCGCCTCTCGTGGTCACGCCTCTCGTGGTCACGCCTGTCATGGTCACGCCTGTCGTAGTCTCGCCCCTCGTGGTCACGCCTCTCGTGGTCTCGCCTCTCGTGGTCTCGCCTCTCGTGGTCACGCCTCTCGTGGTCTCGCCTCTCGTGGTCACGCCTCTCGTGGTCACGCCTCTCGTGGTCTCGCCTCTCGTGGTCACGCCTCCCGTGGTCACGCCTCTCGTGGTCTCGCCTCTCGTGGTCACGCCTCTCGTGGTCACGCCTCTCGTGGTCTCGCCTCTCGTGGTCACGCCTCTCGTGGTCACGCGTCTCGTGGTCACGCCTCTCGTGGTCACGCCTCTCGTGGTCACGCCTCTCGTGGTCACGCCTCTCGTGGTCACGCCTCTCGTGGTCACGCCTCTCGTGGTCACGCCTCTCGTGGTCACGCCTCTCGTGGTCACGCCTCTCGTGGTCACGCCTCTCGTGGTCACGCCTCTCGTGGTCACGCCTCTCGTGGTCACGCCTCTCGTGGTCACGCCTCTCGTGGTCACGCCTCTCGTGGTCACGCCTCTCGTGGTCACGCCTCTCGTGGTCACGCCTCTCGTGGTCACGCCTCTCGTGGTCACGCCTCTCGTGGTCACGCCTCTCGTGGTCACGCCTCTCGTGGTCACGCCTCTCGTGGTCACGTCTCTCGTGGTCACGCCTCTCGTGGTCACGCCTCTCGTGGTCACGCCTCTCGTGGTCACGCCTCTCGTGGTCACGCCTCTCGTGGTCACGCCTCTCGTGGTCACGCCTCTCGTGGTCACGCCTCTCGTGGTCACGCCTCTCGTGGTCACGCCTCTCGTGGTCACGCCTCTCGTGGTCACGCCTCTCGTGGTCACGCCTCTCGTGGTCACGCCTCTCGTGGTCACGCCTCTCGTGGTCACGCCTCTCGTGGTCACGCCTCTCGTGGTCACGCCTCTCGTGGTCACGCCTCTCGTGGTCACGCCTCTCGTGGTCACGCCTCTCGTGGTCTCGCCTCTCGTGGTCTCGCCTCTCGTGGTCACGCCTCTCGTGGTCACGCCTCTCGTGGTCACGCCTCTCGTGGTCACGCCTCTCGTGGTCACGCCTCTCGTGGTCACGCCTCTCGTGGTCACGCCTCTCGTGGTCACGCCTCTCGTGGTCACGCCTCTCGTGGTCACGCCTCTCGTGGTCACGCCTCTCGTGGTCACGCCTCTCGTGGTCACGCCTCTCGTGGTCACGCCTCTCGTGGTCACGCCTCTCGTGGTCACGCCTCTCGTGGTCACGCCTCTCGTGGTCACGCCTCTCGTGGTCACGCCTCTCGTGGTCACGCCTCTCGTGGTCACGCCTCTCGTGGTCACGCCTCTCGTGGTCACGCCTCTCGTGGTCACGCCTCTCGTGGTCTCGCCTCTCGTGGTCACGCCTCTCGTGGTCACGCCTCTCGTGGTCTCGCCTCTCGTGGTCTCGCCTCTCGTGGTCACGCCTCTCGTGGTCACGCCTCTCGTGGTCTCGCCTCTCGTGGTCACGCCTCTCGTGGTCACGCCTCTCGTGGTCACGCCTCTCGTGGTCACGCCTCTCGTGGTCACGCCTCTCGTGGTCACGCCTCTCGTGGTCACGCCTCTCGTGGTCTCGCCTCTCGTGGTCACGCCTCTCGTGGTCTCGCCTCTCGTGGTCACGCCTCTCGTGGTCTCGCCTCTCGTGGTCACGCCTCTCGTGGTCACGCCTCTCGTGGTCACGCCTCTCGTCGTGGTCACGCCTCTCGTGGTCACGCCTCTCGTGGTCACGCCTCTCGTGGTCACGCCTCTCGTGGTCACGCCTCTCGTGGTCACGCCTCTCGTGGTCACGCCTCTCGTGGTCACGCCTCTCGTGGTCACGCCTCTCGTGGTCACGCCTCTCGTGGTCACGCCTCTCGTGGTCACGCCTCTCGTGGTCACGCCTCTCGTGGTCACGCCTCTCGTGGTCACGCCTCTCGTGGTCACGCCTCTCGTGGTCACGCCTCTCGTGGTCACGCCTCTCGTGGTCACGCCTCTCGTGGTCACGCCTCTCGTGGTCACGCCTCTCGTGGTCACGCCTCTCGTGGTCACGCCTCTCGTGGTCACGCCTCTCGTGGTCACGCCTCTCGTGGTCACGCCTCTCGTGGTCACGCCTCTCGTGGTCACGCCTCTCGTGGTCACGCCTCTCGTGGTCACGCCTCTCGTGGTCACGCCTCTCGTGGTCACGCCTCTCGTGGTCACGCCTCTCGTGGTCACGCCTCTCGTGGTCCGCCTCTCGTGGTCACGCCTCTCGTGGTCACGCCTCTCGTGGTCACGCCTCTCGTGGTCACGCCTCTCGTGGTCACGCCTCTCGTGGTCACGCCTCTCGTGGTCACGCCTCTCGTGGTCACGCCTCTCGTGGTCACGCCTCTCGTGGTCACGCCTCTCGTGGTCACGCCTCTCGTGGTCACGCCTCTCGTGGTCACGCCTCTCGTGGTCACGCCTCTCGTGGTCACGCCTCTCGTGGTCACGCCTCTCGTGGTCACGCCTCTCGTGGTCACGCCTCTCGTGGTCACGCCTCTCGTGGTCACGCCTCTCGTGGTCACGCCTCTCGTGGTCACGCCTCTCGTGGTCACGCCTCTCGTGGTCACGCCTCTCGTGGTCACGCCTCTCGTGGTCACGCCTCTCGTGGTCACGCCTCTCGTGGTCACGCCTCTCGTGGTCACGCCTCTCGTGGTCACGCCTCTCGTGGTCACGCCTCTCGTGGTCACGCCTCTCGTGGTCTCGTCTCGTGGTCACGCCTCTCGTGGTCACGCCTCTCGTGGTCACGCCTCTCGTGGTCACGCCTCTCGTGGTCACGCCTCTCGTGGTCACGCCTCTCGTGGTCACGCCTCTCGTGGTCACGCCTCTCGTGGTCACGCCTCTCGTGGTCACGCCTCTCGTGGTCACGCCTCTCGTGGTCACGCCTCTCGTGGTCACGCCTCTCGTGGTCACGCCTCTCGTGGTCACGCCTCTCGTGGTCACGCCTCTCGTGGTCACGCCTCTCGTGGTCACGCCTCTCGTGGTCACGCCTCTCGTGGTCACGCCTCTCGTGGTCACGCCTCTCGTGGTCACGCCTCTCGTGGTCACGCCTCTCGTGGTCACGCCTCTCGTGGTCACGCCTCTCGTGGTCACGCCTCTCGTGGTCACGCCTCTCGTGGTCACGCCTCTCGTGGTCACGCCTCTCGTGGTCACGCCTCTCGTGGTCACGCCTCTCGTGGTCACGCCTCTCGTGGTCACGCCTCTCGTGGTCACGCCTCTCGTGGTCACGCCTCTCGTGGTCACGCCTCTCGTGGTCACGCCTCTCGTGGTCACGCCTCTCGTGGTCACGCCTCTCGTGGTCACGCCTCTCGTGGTCACGCCTCTCGTGGTCACGCCTCTCGTGGTCACGCCTCTCGTGGTCACGCCTCTCGTGGTCACGCCTCTCGTGGTCACGCCTCTCGTGGTCACGCCTCTCGTGGTCACGCCTCTCGTGGTCACGCCTCTCGTGGTCACGCCTCTCGTGGTCACGCCTCTCGTGGTCACGCCTCTCGTGGTCACGCCTCTCGTGGTCACGCCTCTCGTGGTCACGCCTCTCGTGGTCACGCCTCTCGTGGTCACGCCTCTCGTGGTCACGCCTCTCGTGGTCACGCCTCTCGTGGTCACGCCTCGCCTCTCGTGGTCACGCCTCTCGTGGTCACGCCTCTCGTGGTCACGCCTCTCGTGGTCACGCCTCTCGTGGTCACGCCTCTCGTGGTCACGCCTCTCGTGGTCACGCCTCTCGTGGTCACGCCTCTCGTGGTCACGCCTCTCGTGGTCACGCCTCTCGTGGTCACGCCTCTCGTGGTCACGCCTCTCGTGGTCACGCCTCTCGTGGTCACGCCTCTCGTGGTCACGCCTCTCGTGGTCACGCCTCTCGTGGTCACGCCTCTCGTGGTCACGCCTCTCGTGGTCACGCCTCTCGTGGTCACGCCTCTCGTGGTCACGCCTCTCGTGGTCACGCCTCTCGTGGTCACGCCTCTCGTGGTCACGCCTCTCGTGGTCACGCCTCTCGTGGTCACGCCTCTCGTGGTCACGCCTCTCGTGGTCACGCCTCTCGTGGTCACGCCTCTCGTGGTCACGCCTCTCGTGGTCACGCCTCTCGTGGTCACGCCTCTCGTGGTCACGCCTCTCGTGGTCACGCCTCTCGTGGTCACGCCTCTCGTGGTCTCGCCTCTCGTGGTCACGCCTCTCGTGGTCACGCCTCTCGTGGTCACGCCTCTCGTGGTCATGCCTCTCGTGGTCATGCCTCTCGTGGTCACGCCTCGTGGTCACGCCTCTCGTGGTCATGCCTCTCGTGGTCA